TTTATGTAGACATATCCAGGAAAGGAAAATAAATGAAGTTTATACAATTCATACAAGGTTCCAATTTCTACTAAATGACAAAACGAGTAAGTTGCAAAAAGAATTGTAGTTTGAGCAACAGAATGAGGACATATATACTGGCACAAAATTGTATAAGACAACTATAAAAGAGATTTAGGAAAACTTGAAGTACAAATTCATAAAACTGATAAGTAATTTGCCTTGAACAGTATTCTTTGCTTTATTTTTTTAGGGCTTTTAATACGACAATGGGAAAAATAAAATCCAATTTACTACAATTTGATTTACTTGACTTTTCAGAAACATATCTGCTATCAGCTATCCGTATAAGACTTTTTTTCTACCAATCTAGGCTAACTAGAAAAAAAAACAGTAATGTGGGTAACATTCCATTTTAATTAATGCCTCAATGGCACTTTAACATCCAATTTGACAAAAGATTTAAGTGCTTGCTACAGCTAACAACCCATACTAACAGTACTTTGTCACTGTGAATGCAATAAATCCTGTGAATAAAAAAATTAATCTAAGTGTCCATGTTCAAAAGTCAACCTATTTAATACATTAACCTTCTGATAAGGCATCATGTGCACAATCAGAAAACCTATTAGATAGTCTTAATAAAATGTGACATGCTTTTAAAAGGTTGTATTCTTGAAGTTTTGCAAGAAGGTGGGGATTTTTTGTAAAATTTGCTTGTATTATAAAAGTGATTCTGCCTGTTAATGCTAAGTCTAATACAGCTTGTAAAAATATTATTTACAAAATATATTATAATCTTACACTTAATCTAATCATTCAAAATTTTGGAATAGATTGTGTTATGTGCTATGGAGAAAACAAAGATGAGTAAATCCCTGCCTACACTTACATTTGTCTTAAAAAAGCAGAATAGCACAGAAAAAACCTTCTGAACAATGTAGCACTAGACTTCTTATTAACAAGATTTGGATAAAACACAGAAACTTTGGTGTACTTGTTTGTTTAACTGACATTGTGCCTAGAATGTTCCATCAAATTGTTCCTACTATCGTCACCCTTCTCTCCAATCTTCAGTTTTCCTGCTGTACTCATTCCTACCCTGCTAATACAAACACACCCAAGTTTCCCCCATTCTTAAAAAACACACACTCTATCCCAACAGTCCTTTCAGATACTATCCCATCTTTCTCTTTCCTTCCTCAGTGAAAATCTTTGAACAAAAAAAAAAAACATTTATTCTCAGTGCTTTCCCTTCCTCTTCTATACTCTCTGCAACCTGGCTTCTGATCTTATCACTCAAATGAAACTGATCTCTCCAAAGTTAACAATGATCCCTTGTCAAATTTAATGGACTTTTAACCATCTTCATCCTTCTTGATCTCTCCAGAGAATTTAATGCCGTTTACCACCTTCTCCTCCTGGACACACTTTACTCTCTTGATTTTAACTTTCTGACTGCTCCCTTCTCAGTCTCCTTTGCTAACTGATCATCCAAGTCACTGATTGTGGGTCTAGTTTGTGGCACCACTCCCTACATTCATCCACGTAATGACTTCAGCAGCTTCCACTGGTTCAATGACTGTTTATACGTACATAATACCTAGATCTTAATATCTGGTATAAGTCTTTCTCTAAGTTCCAGTCCTACGTGACCAAATGCCTACTGCACATTTCAAACTGGAAGTGCCAGAAGCACCTTAAACTCAACACATCCAAAACAGAGACTATTATTTCCCCCCACCACCAGCCCCAAAACCCAGCCCTCTTTCAAACTTCCCTTTTACTGTAGAGGACAGCACCATCCCTTCAGTTACCAAGTTAGGCATCTTAGTATTGGGGAAGTGCCTCCAAGATTAATATGTCTATTTTATATGAGTACTTTACCAGGCAGGTACACTGGACACAGAGTAAAAGGAGGCCATCAGGAACCTGCAGCGAGCCAAAGTCTTGCTCACTCCCAGATGCTTTTGCTGGTGTTTACTGGCTGACCTCACTGAGTTATGCAACCCAAACTGGCCTAAATCAGCCTTGCAGTCAACTGTTCCTATAAGTAATTTCTGTTTTGCAGGTGAGATGAAATCTGGTTATCCTACAATTAACATAATCAGCAGAAATCAACAGAGGGTTGAGGACAGACACCTAGAAAAGTGAGAAATTTTGAAAGCTAAAGTCATAAACTTTCAAAAGTCATAATTTTGCCAATGGCCATTACTACTAATTGTTTTTTCCTGCAATTCCATAGGAGTTACACAGGACAGAAATCTGTGCTATGGTATAAATATAACATTACCCTAATTGAAAATTAAACTAAATAAGCTGTAATCACATTTCATTTGTGGGCCTGGGATTAAGGTCTTATTTTTTAAATTCAATATACCACTCTATTGCATTAATATAAATATTACAAAAACATATCTCAAATACAAATACTACTATACATAATAGAAAACACCACTTAAGAATTTAACAGAATGCAATTCCATTTTACATTTCTATTGATGAAACTGAACACTTGTCAATTTAAGAAATACTGGATGCCTTAATTTGGTACCTCAGAACATAAAGTATTAACTCAAGCTGGGTTCGTGCTATAAAATGAAAAATAACAAGTCTAAACTTTGCAAAACATATCACATACATGATCTCTTTTGAGCTTCCCAATGATCTCATGATGTAGATATTCCAGTTACCCCACTTTACAGCTTAGGAAACCGAGGTTTAGAGGGGCTAAGTGAAATTACTAAGTCTATGCTTACACAGCCAGGGAAAGAGGTAGCATTTGAATACAGGTACTGACTTCAAGCCCTGTATCTGAGGCACCGTACGATACTACCTCTTATGGAGAAAATTCAGATTCATTTTGATTTAATCACAGATAATAATGAGTTTAAGACAAATTATCTTCTTTAAAACAATCAGTAACACATAGAAGATACAGAAAGGTAAATTTCAGGTTGATGTCAAAAGAAATTTCCTAACAAGTGAAGTGATCCAAAAATAGAAAAGGTAGCTCAGGATGCAGTGGGTTACCCTTGTCATGAAGTCTTCAATCTAAGTCTGAATGAATACTTACTTGTTTGAGATACTATAGTGGAAATTCTTTGTCAGACATGGGTTGAACTAAACAGTCTCTGAGTTCCCCTATAAATCTGTGATTCTGTAATTCTAAATTTCTATTCCTCAGTGAAACAACAGAAATAATATAACACATGAGAGATTAAGCTAAGATGGGTAATTTTGAGAATCATCAGTATAGAGATGATAGTTAAATCCACGGAAGCTGATGAGATTATCAAGTGACACAGTTTTGGGGGAGAAGAGAAGAGGCTCCAGGACAGAATCCTCCAGGACACTTATAGTGAGAGGGTATGATCTCGATGAGAATTCAGCAAAAAAGACAGAGAAGTGATGAGGTAGGTAGAAGGAAAACTAGGAGAGAGTAGTATCCTGAACACCTAAAGAGAAGAAAGGGATCAAAGAGGAGATAGGGATCAACAGTGTCAAAGACTGAAGAGAGGTTAAGGAGAATGAGGACTGAGAAAAGGTCATTCAATTTGGCAACTAAGAGGTCATTAGTAACTTTGTAGAGACCAGTTTCACGGGAATGATAGGGTCTGAAGAAAGATTGTAAGGGGTTAGTTAAGAAGAGAATGAGAGGAGAGAAAGTGGAGGCATCTACTATAATGGCCTTATTGAGGAGTTAAGCTACGAAGGGCAGAAAAGATATAGGACAGTAGCTAGCAGGGAAGGAAGGATCGAGGGAAGGTTTTTTTTGAGAATGGAGCCACCTGAATACGTTTGTAGGCAATATGAAATTAGCCAATAGACAGGGAGAGATTGAAAATAAGGAAATAGTGGAGATGCCAGAGGGGACAAGCTGCTGGAAGAGACAAGACAGCATGGGATCGTTAGAACAAGTAGAGGAGTTAGCCTTGATAAGGATTAAGGCCACCTCATCATAATTCATCTCTCTTCTCTTTCTCTCTCTCTAATTCTGACTTGTATTATCATAAGAGTAGTAAACTTTCAATATGCTAATTTAATTCAACAAACATTTCTGAAGTGTCTATTATGTACAATGTACCACCGTAGGTGTTGAGATCTATTTTATAATTCAGAGATTTAAGGGGAAATTTCCAGAAATTTTTGTTTGGGAAGACTAAATTTATAGTTTTACCACTAACTTCAAAGTTTTTATCTTGGTCATCCCATGTAAAAATATGTATATGGACAAAAACAAAACAGGAGCTTACAATCTCCTCAAGGATATGTCAGAGACAAAAATAACTATGATACAAAGTGATATGAAAAAAGAGAGAGCACTAGAAACTGGAAAGATCAGAGAAAAGCCTTCATGGATTAGTAAAGGAGTAATTTTCACAAATATAAAGGGTTTATTTAAAGTGAGTATTGTAAATTAATTGAATATTATAAATTAATAACATTTTTACTTAGATACTTTATATGTTATCTCATTTGCTCCTCACAGCACTCCCATGTGGCAAGTATTAAAGATATCATTATGTCTTTATTACAGATCAGGAAACTGAAGCTCAGAGAGGTTCAGTGACTTGCAGAGGGTCATAGAGCTAACAAGGACCAAATTCACATCCTCCCAACTCCAAGTTCAGCACTGCCTCAGAAGTTTCCAATAGCGCTCCAAAAAGATCACTAATTAGTCCAAGCTAAGGACATAGTTTGTGCTAACCAGAGGGGCTTCAGAGACTCCTTCCTTCTGAACAGCAAGTTTTAGACAGGTTACTTAGGTCAATGGTGTGTGTATATATATATATATATATTATGTTTTTTGGTTTTTTTGTTAAATACTTCCTAATTAGATTGTAACCTAGTTTGGGCTACACTGGAAAATTTTACAGACCACACCTAAGCAGCAAGTTTGACTCCTCTGGCTTATATGTTAAACCTATGCTCATCAGAGTATAACTATCAATAAGTAAAGCCAACTGATCATCACTTTTAAAAATTAGAGTACATACCCTCAGGTCAGGAGAAAAGTTCTCTGCAGAAGTTGAAATAGAATCCGATGATATGACAGAAGCTGATTTTAAATGTACTGAATGGTCCGAATGAGAGGTAGAGGCACTATAAAATAAAAAGATTTTGAAAGATGTATAGATTATAGGCAACACAATATTTCTAATGCATGAAAATTTTAAAATATTTTTTCCAATTCCATCATATAGTCCCAACCTGTCTATTTATCTTCTTCTAGTGTTCCCCAACATGGACCCTTTACTCAGTTCCTGTCAGGACACTATTAATATCTTCTACCACATATCATGTTCATTTTTTTCCTCAAGCTCCCCTATAGATCACATATCCCTGCCATAGTATTTCTTCTTTCTGCCAATCTACACTTTATCCTTCTTTCAAGGCCAACTTCAAGAACTACCTCCTCAATTATGGCTAACCAAACTACATCACAGCTATCAAAGGAAAATATAAATGCTAGAGAAGATGTGGGAAAATTGGAACACTAATGCATTGCTGACAGAGTTGTGAACTTATACAACCATTCTGGAGAGCAATTTGGAACTATGCCCAAAAGGCAACCAAACTATGCATACCCTTTGATCCAGCAATGACACTATTAGGTCTATATCCCAAAGAGATCATAAAAAAGGGGAAAAAACCTACATTTACAAAAATATTTATAGCAGCTCTTTTTGTGGTGGCCAAGAATTGGAAATTAAGGGGATGCCCATCAACTGGGGAATGGCTTAACAAGTTGTGGGATATGAATGTAATGGAATACTATTGTTCCATAAGAAATGATGAGCAAGCAGATTTCAGAAAGACTTACATGAACTGATGCTGAGTAAAGTGAGCAAAAACAGGAGAACAATGTACACAGCGATAGCAACATTGTGAGATGACTAACTTTGATAGACTTAGCTCTTCTCAGCAATGCAAAGATCTAAGACAATTCTAAAAGGCTCACGATGGAAAATGCTAACCACATCCAAAAAAAGAACTATGGAGTCTGAATGCAGATCAAAGCATATTATTTGCTCTCTTTTTTTTTTCTGTTTCTTCTTTCTCGTTGTTCCTCCTATTGGTTCTAATTCTTCTTTACAACATGACTAATGTGAAAATATCTTTAATATGAATGTATACATACAGCCTATATCAGATTGCACATTGTCTTGGGGAAGGGGGAGGGAAGAGAGAGGGAGAAGATTTAGAACACAAAATCTTATGGAAATGAACGTTGAAAACCAAAAATAAATTAATCAATAAAAAAAATTATGCAGGAGCAGCTAGGCGGCACAAGTGGATAGAGCACCAACCCTGGGGTCAGGAGGACCTGAGTTCAAATCCAGCCTCAGACACATAACACTCACTGTGTGATTCTGGGCAATTACCTCACCAAAAAAAAAACCAAAAAAATTATGGCTAACCAAACTAATTCTAACCCACAATGACTCTTTTCCATATCTAAGTTCCTACAGCATAAAATAAGTATTCGTAAAAATTGAAAAGGAAAATAGATTTTTCAATATAATATCTCCTTAAATAAATATAAATAACCTGAAACAGACCATATACCACCTTCTAATCCTAGAATCTCTTGATTACACTATTTCCATTACTTACAATTTACTCCAGGGATGACTCTTTTCATGAAGGCCATTCCTTCTATATATCTTTAAATTCATCTTCTCCCATCTTTTCCTACCAATTGCCCCCAATATCATCAGCCCTCCTTTCTCTCTAATCCTCAAGTCAATTCAGACAAGTCAACAATCATTTATTAATTGTCTACTATGTGCAGGCAATTTGGTAAGCGCTGAGGATTCAAAGAAAGGATTAAAAAAGTCTCTGCTCTCAAGTAGTTCACAATCTAATGGGGGAAATACAATGCAAACAACTACTGTTAAAGAAGATACATACAGGATAATTTGGAGATAATCTCAGAAAGAAAGTAGTAAAATTTGGGTGGTTTGGGAAAGGCTTCCAAGAAGATGGGATTTTAAAGATGGGAAGAACTCCGTCCCTTCTCATCACCTCCTCCTGACTTCCTTGCCTTTCAGTCAGGAGGTAGAGATAAAGAGGGACAGAGTCCCAGGCACAGGGAAAATGCCCAGAGTCAAGAGAACTATAATTTTAACAAAGGTCATAGTGGGAGTCAAATAAGATGGAGGACCTAAGAGTGATTTTGTTATGTTTTGATGATCTTTAAAAAAAAAAAGGGAGAAAGAAAGAAAGGGGGTAAGGGTATACTAATGAAGAAAAATGGAGTAATGGGAAGGAATTTACCTCACATAATAGAGGGGAACAAGATGAAGTGTACATAAAGGGGTGGGGAGAGAAGTCACTTGAACCTCACTTTGAGATGATGCAGTGTGAAGTTAAGCAGAACCAGGAGAATAATTTATACTATAACTTTGGGGAAAAAATAATTTTGAAAGTTTTAAGAACTCTGATCAATGCAATGATCAACTATTATTCCAAAGGAGTGTTGATTTAAAATGCTATCTACCTCCTGAGACATGTTGAACTAGGCATACAGAGTGAGGCATTTGTTTCTAGACATGGCCAATGTGGGATTTTGTTTTGCTTGCTTAACTACACATATTTGTTGCGTGGCATTTTGTCTTTTTCCTGGGGAATGGAGGGTTGGGAAGGAGATACATGCTTATTAATTCTTTGTCCTCTGGTTCTAATGTATCTGAAGTTTCCTTCCTTTTTTTCCTTGCATGATTCTAGGAAGACAGCCTAGAAACCACCTCAGTCACCAAAAGAATTTAATATTCATGTTGTAAGCCTGTATATTTTTGTCTTTCATGATATATATTCCATGCTCTCTACTCCTATTAAGTGGGGCTGCAAAATTTTGTGTGATCCTCACTGTGGTTCCTTGGTAATTAAACACTTTCTTTCTGGTTGTTGACATTTTTTTTCTTTGATCTGGAAGCTATGGGTTTTGGCTCTGATGTTGCTGGGAGTTTTCATTCCGAGATTTCTTTCAGGAGGTGACCTGTGTATTCTTTTTTTTGTTTTGTTCTATTTTCCAGCCCAGCCTGAAAATACAGTAGTCACTCATGAGCCTTAACCAAATATTGAAAAGCACAGAAGCTGTAACCTGCTCTGTTTTTCTGACAGTTCATCCCTCCTTATGCAACCTCTGCTCCCAAGGGCTCATCATTTTCTGCTAGATTTACTAAGGGCACCTGATCAACTTCAGCCCTACTGCAATTCAGAACCTCCAAACTCAAGCTATCCACCAGCTTTGGCCTCCCTTAGTATTAGGGATTACAAGTATGCATCACCATATCCAGCTCATTCATAATTTCTGGAACTATTATAACTAGGTTTTGCTCATGACTTTCAGGTAGTCCAGTGATTCTGAAAATCTCTAATGTTTGTGTTCCAGCAAAGTTATTTTTAATATGAAATATCTATCATTTTCTTTTTTTTGTCCAATCTTCTGACTTCAATATTTACTGCAGTCTCATATAGCCATCAGCTTCTGTTTGGACTATTTTAATTTTCAAGGAGTCTGTTAATTTGGTAAGGTTTTGTACCTCTTCTGCTAAGTTGCTAATTTTCTAACTCTTTCATAGCTCTCATTTCTTTTCTAATTCTTTCTTTTATCACTCTCATTTCATTTATAATATCACTTTAACTCACTTTTAATTATTGCATCATTTCTAAGAATTTAATTGACTTTGTGGGCAAACTGTGTTTTTCTTTCAGGCTTTGCTTGTATGTATTTTGGAGTTATTCTCCTCTTCTGGGTTTGTGTCTTGGCCATTCCTGACCTCATAATGATTCTTTCTCTTCTTTGGTTTAGTAACTCTTCCAGAGATTTGATATGGGCAACCCACAGCTGCTGACTTAGAGGGGAGTTCTGAGAACCGAGTCTGCAATACCAGCCTTGTGAGACCCCTGTATTTTATTTTTTTAAATAATTTATTTTGATTTATCAACAATCATTTCCATAAGCTTTTGAGATTTAAATTTTTCTCCTCTTTCCTCCTTCTCCCTCCCCAAGATGGCTCAAAATCTGATATACATTATACTTATACATTCCTATTAAACATATTTTCACATTAGTGATGTTGTAGGGAAGAATTGGAACCAACAGGAGGAACCATCAGAAAGAGGAAACAAAACAAAACAGAAGAAAAAAAATAGCAAATAGTATGCTTCAATATGCATTCAAACTCCATAGTTCTTTCTTTGGATGTGGATAGCATTTTCCATCACAAGGCCTTTGGAGATGGCTTAGATCATTGCACTGCTGAGAAGGACTAAGTCTATCAACATTAGTCATTGCACAATGTGGCTGTTACTGTGTATAATGTTCTCCTGGTTCTCCTCACTTCACTCAGCATCAGTCCATATAAGTCTTTCCAGGCTTTTCTGAAGTCTGCCTACTCATCATTTCTTATAGCAGAGTAGTATTCCATTACATTCATATACTACAACTTTTCAGCCATTCCCCAATTGATGGGCATCCTCTCAATTTCCAACTCTTTGCCACCACAAAAAGAGCTGCTATAAATATTTTTGTACATGTGGAGACCCCTGTATTTTATATGATCTGCTTTGGAAGACCCTACACTGCTGGCCTAGCTCTGGTTCCTGGGGTTCACATTCTTGGTTCCTCTGGGAGACCCTTCTCTGCTTGCCTTGGCCAGAGGCTGCATCTCAAATTAGCTCTGGGCATCCCTGCCCTGCTGGCCTGTGTCTGAGCTCTGGACACTAAATCTGCATTCTCTACCCCTTTGGGACACCCAGAGTTCCTGATGTGTGCTTAGAAATAAGTCTTTGATCAGCTCTGGGTATCTCAGCACTCACAGACTAACCTGAAACTATGGACACTAAGTCTATGATCTGGGCCCGTCCCAGTTCCAGAGTTCCTACCCTACTCACTTGCCTATAGGTCAAATTTGTGATCTTGAACTACAAAGATAATCTACTGTAGTTTCTCCTTTGATTTCCTGATCACTACTTGGTTAAGTATTCTTAGATCACTGTTGGAGTAGTTGTGTCAAGAACTGAGATTTATTGCTTTCTTCTACTCCATCATCTTACCAATTATCCACTTGCCAAATCTAATGGCCTTTTCTCAA